TCCCTTTTCCTTGTTGAAATGGAAACACGATGACTGGCATTTCCACTGCCATTTGGAAAACATGGGATGACGCTGAGAAAGGAAGCCAGGTGTTAACCACAACTAGCGGAAGCGTAGGATGATGACGTGGTGAGGCTGCCATCCTGAACCAGGTCTTCAGGGCTTCTCTGATGCCGAAGAAAACTACACCGGTGTCTTCTTTAAGCCTCTGTGATTTGGGATCTCTGTTACAGGGCTGAAGGTAATCTCTTACTGATACGTAACACATTTTTTAACTCCACTTTTTGGCTTCTTCAAATGGGTTTAAATATTAATGATGATCTTTGAAATACACTTATTGTCTTCCTTAGTTGATAAAATGTAGTACAACAGGATTTTGTTTTGTTTTTTATCAGTTGTGGTTGAATTTGATGAATTTGTGTTCGTCTACACTACACTCCATCTCTCCCTCTTATCTCAGGCCAGAACAGAAAAGGTAGGTTTCGACGAACAGCCGGGCTGCCTAAACACCTGTCAAACCTTAATGGCCCTGCTATTTCTTTATATAGACTTGACCTAATTGAAAGTATTTCTTAAAAACTGCGATTGCCAGATGCCTTAAGAAAATGTTTTGAGTGGAGGCTTTGCATTTCTCTCTCTCTCGGACCCCATTCTCGTAGTATTTGACCAACTTGGCTACTGCAGTCAATTTTTCACTCCATTTCACATTTCTCATGGGCTCCCTTCTTTCCTCGCCTCCCACTTTCCTTACCTTACCATTCATTCCGTGGTCCATCATTACAGTCTTTCTCTTATCAACTTGTTCAACTTCCTCAGGCCTGTCTCTTTCTCACTTACTCACCTGACAAAATCAAATGTTGGTTAAACCCAAATCTCTTCTTTCTACAATTGCAAAGTCACAGCCAGCCACAACTGAGGGGAAAACATACTGATATATCTCATCTCAAGAACACCCTAACACCTCCCCAACATTCCACGCACAGGTGGCCAGCTCCATCAGCCTACGTCCCTGCAAGGTAATTATTTTATGCCTCTTCCTCTCTTCAGCCTGCTAGGGCTCTCACACACTCCCCGCTTTCAATAGTTGGTATTCTTCATTTCACTGAAATAACCCAAGCAACGGTAAAAGGATTTCCTCACGCTGCCCCCCTGAGCATCTGTTCCCAAAGAGTCTCTCTTGTTCCCTGTTTCAGCAGATTAACTATCAATCTTGCAAAGCACAACGCTTCCAGTTGTGTACTAGGCTGTATCAACTTTTTAAGGATTTGATTACTGCAAGTTTCCCCCTTTTCTCTCCTATGAGCTGCTTTTCATCTTGACTGGACTGTTCACATCAGCATGAAAGATAACCACAGCTACAGTTTTCATCAAATCCCCCCTCGTGATCCCACATCTCTCCAGCCACTGCACGGTTCTCTCTCTCTCTCTCTGTTCACTTTCAACCAAGACAATGTCATTGTTTCTCTTTCCAAACCCCATCCCTTCATGGGAACATCAACACCAAGGATTCTGAAGCAGGTGCAGCGTGGTCGGAGGTAATGCAAAGAGACCGCTTTTACTCCCAGCCTTAGGGATCTTGGTTTCTGGAAAAGGGAAGGGATCAGATCTCAGTCCAGACAATCACTGCTAATGTGACTTCCTCTTAATTAATTCATCATCTCAGCCTGATGGAGGGGGAGACAGGCGGCGCTGCTCCTGGGAACTCATTCTTCCTTGATGTCCATATTTCATCTTCAGAAAAACCTGAGATCGGAGAGTAAACGGTTCATCCGCAGGAGGGGCGAGGTCAGCTCGCCGCGTCCCCCAGCGCTGCTCAGGGTGCGTCCTGCAACGTGAGTGCCTGCAGTTCGGCTCGGAGCGTTCTCCCCGGGCTTCCCGGCCGGAGACGGCAAGTGAGCGGCTTGTACACCAAACCTACAGCGCGCTCGCGGAGGAGCCACCATTTGGAACGGTTCTCATGATTTACCAAGCACCCCAGTTCCCTGAGGAGCCTATCGAAATGCAGATTTCAAATCGAACTTCCAGAAAGTGCTGGCAAAGCCCAGGCTCTACATTTCTGATATTTTTCGTGGGATTCTGATGCAGCTGGAACGTGGACCATACACCACTCCACAAGCTGGCGAGAGCTCTCGACTGGTTGGCCCTTAGGCTGGACGAACAAGGACTGAAAGTGGGGATAAGGTATAACAGACAGAACTAACGGTCAGCCGAGAACAAAATGGGAGAATTGCTCTCCTTAACTCTAAAAAGCAAGGGAACAACACCCCCTCGAAACCACAACAAAACAAAAGCAAAGCAGTGCGGAGCATGAGCCTTGTCAAGTAGTCCATTTGTGGGTAAACAATCACAGCGAACAGGGGGAGGGGGGCAGGCTCGCTGGGACACCCCCTTCCCCAGGAACACGGCATCCAGGCGGGGAGCACCCTCCTCACCCCCAGCACTGGTCCTGTCCTCCCAAGATCGCGCACACTCTGGGGCAGTTTCTGTATCTGAACGACAAACTCCAAACATGAGACCCTGGGGACAAGCACACCTCACCGCCTTCACAGCTCCTCTGCTTTCCTAACTGGTTCCCTTGAACGTGACTTTCCAAGCCTTGACCCATGTCTAGGCGACAACAGTACTTGCACCAGAAGCCAAGGTCTCAGTCTGCTTCTGCGGGACACGAGCCTTGGTCAAACCGTGAATTCCCAAACCTTTCTGTTCATTTCTTCCAACATTTTCTTCACTGCTTTCTAGGACGCGTATCTCCCACCACAGGATGCCCATTCCAGGCCTTCTTGTCTCCAGTTGTTAACCTCAGAGCCAAGGCTCAATCCCCTGACTTCACAGCGACCTATACTCCTTCCTAAGGTCATGTCATCATGTTCATATTTATGGCTTTAAACAGTCTCTGCACACTGACGTTACCTAAATACACAACTTTGGGCTGTCACTCTGATCTCCAGACTTACATACTCAGTTGCACAGGGGACATCCATCCGGTTAAAGGTACTGAGGTTAACTTCCCAAAAGCAAAAAAACAAAGCATTGATCTCGGTCTCCAAACGTGCTCCTTTTCCATTGCAGTTAGTGTCACGACCACATACCTAAGTGCTTCCTCCAAATTCCGTGGGTTCATTTTTGTTTAAAGCTCTCTTCTCATATTCACATGCCACCCCTCAGTAATACCGCCAGATCTACTTTCAAAATATATCTCACATCTGGCCACTTGACTTCTTCATTATTAACACTGTATTTTAAGCCAACTTTATCTGTTCCCTAGACTATTAAAATAATATTTTTAAACAGTTTCAGTGCTTCCTGTCGTTTTAAAACAAATCAGAATATTCTACTTCATACAGTAAATGCTTTGATGGCTTCCAGTTACAATTAGAATAGGAATCCAAATATTTAAGTGGGACCAAGGGGCTCCATGTGATCTGACCCCAGGCTACCTCTCCAGTCTCATAGCTACCACTCCTCTTAATTCATACCAATCACACTAGCCACCCAGCTGTTCCTACAGAAAGCCAAGTAACTTTCTGCCCCCTTTTGGTAAATCATAGAGTAAATTACTGTATACATCAGTGTGTCTGTTAATGAATCATACATGCAATCCCACATTATTAATTCATCTAAATAACTAAAATTTGAATTAAATCATAAATAAAAGAGTACTGATTGTAAGAATGGTATCCGCCTACTGGACCAATGTTCATAGCCATTAAATTAATTATTGAGATTGTAAAATTTTCTGGGATACTCAACTTCACTAATTATTAAAGAAATCCAAATAAAAACTATAATGAGGTATCACCTCACACCGGTCAGAATGGCCATGATTGAAAAGTCTACAGATAATAAATGCTAGAGAGGTTGTGGAGAAAAGGGAACCTCCCTATACTGTTGGTGGGAATGTAAAATGATGTAGCCAGTAAGGAAAACAGTATGGAGGTTCCTTAAAAAACGAAAAATAGAGTTACTAATATGTTGTAGCAACCCCATTCCAGGGCATTTATCCAGAGAAAACTCTAATTGAAAAAGATACATGCAGCCCAATGTTCACAGCAGCACTATTTACAACAGCCAAGACATGACAACAACCTAAATGTCCATCCGCAAGTGACTGGATAAAGAAGATGTGGTATATTTATGTGGTGAATATCATTTAATCATAAAAAAGAATGAAATAATGCCATTTGCAGCAACACGGATGGACCCAGACATTATCATACTAAGTGAAGTAAGTCAGAGAAAGACCGATACCATGTATCACTTACACGTGGAATCTAAAATATGACACAAATGAACTTATTTACAAAACAGAAACAGATTCGCAGACATAGAAAACAAATCTATGATTACCGAAGGGGAAAGGAGTGGGGAGAGATAAATTAGGAGTTTGGGATTAGCAGATACAAACTACTATATACAAAATCAACAACAAAGTTGTACTGTATAGCACAGAGAACCATACTCAATATTCTGTAAACCATAATGGAAAAGAATATAAAAAAGAATACACATACATATAACCTAATCACTATGCTGTACACCAGAAACTAACACATCATTGGGAATCAACTATACTTCAATAATTTTTTTTTAAAAAATTAAACAAAATAAAATTTTCTATATATAAATAAGTTTTCTACATCATTAGCAAGATCAACTAAACAGATGATCTAATTAAAACATTTAAATGCTTAAGGTTTTCAGTTTCTAAAATTGATATGCTTGCCTAATTGTTGATATTCTAGAGCTGAGAAATAATCTAAATTTCTTATGCTTGAATTTTCCAGTTAGAATGAGTTACTCCATAATGTTTCATGCTGGCAAAAGTGGTACAAAATTATTATAATTGGAATAGGTTTTACACTTTTGTTATAATTGGAAAAGGTTTTACAGTAATAGTTAAGTTCCAAAATTAAAAAAAAAAAAGCTTTCCTAGTCTATTGTTATGTTCTTTGAATAGCTAGTGAACCAAAAAGCCATTAAGACAGCTAGACAATTCTTACCATTCACTTGGAAGATGTGCGTCTGAGAGATGTGTTCGTAGCCGTCTGCGTAGCAGGTGTAATTTCCCATGTGAGTTGTGGTAACCTTAGTAATATACAAGGACCCATCATCTCCAAAGTCCTAGAGAAAAAAAAAGGAAAATTAAATAAAATGAATTGTTTGTATTTAAAATGTATTTTAACAATTCACTTTTTAAAAAATGTATTCAGGAGCAAAGTAAATAACTAAAATATTACCTTTAAACTATCAAAACAATCATTATTAGTTCTACAAAGCTGGAAGATTTTATACGCTGTAATCACTTTTTTCTCAAGACAAATTTTGTTTAAAAAGAATAATCTCTTAGTATTGATTTGAATTATACAAATTTATATAAAATAACTGAATTTTCACATATTTATTGTAATTCAGCCTACCTTTTTAATTAATGAAAATATATATTTTTTCTTATTTATAGTTAAACAGCTCTTAATATATTTTTCACAATTGTAATTGTCCGTTAATTTTTATATCTGTTAATTCTAAATTTACCCAGAAAAATATTATAGCAGTGTGAACTTAGAGATAAAATTTATAGCCATATAAATAGAATAGGACTTTGTAAGCCTCCCAGAAACAATCAGTATATTAAAAAAAATAAATAACCATGACATTTCAAATGTATGGGGAAAAATGCATAACCATTTGAGAAAAAAGAAAGAAAAAATCCTCTCACTGTTTATCAAAATCAAATCCAAGAAGCATCTCTAGAGGTAGTAAAGACCAGAAAAACTTCTCTTTCATAAAGATAATGAATACACTGGCAAAAATTGTCAAAACCATTTTTTTTTCCAGAACTCTGGAAATAGTCAAGGGTTCCCCAGAGCATCTACTGTTAAAAATGTCTGAGTCTCAGCCAGAGCAGTGATGCTGGTGGCATCCGTCTCTTCACGGCTGCATGGGAACCTTGGACCACCAGCTTGGTACCTCTGCTGGCTGGGAAGACCGTCTTCCTAGCTGATCCTGGACGGGGAAGGACGGGTTTGGGGCTCCTCCGAGACCCCATACTCTCTGATGGATGTAGCGGCTCCCTGAAAACTTCCATTTCCGTGATTTCTTTTTATTTGAGCAAGACTTGGAGCTCAGTCTGTGTAAACAGCCCTGCCCCTGAGTCCATTATTGAAGACAAACAGCTGTACTTGTGTAACGTTACAGCTCTCAAGGCAGAGATATGAGTGGGGATGAAAATTAGCATGCCAAAAATCTTAACAGGGAAGACAGGAAGGGCAGGTGCGCAGGGGGTGGTTGAAAAGATCTGCCTGTTCCCAGGACTCTAGAAGGCGAAACAAATGTGCAGGGCTCCGTGCATGACCAGAAAAGATGGACCTCCTTTACGTTTTAGGAAAAAGACAGACTCCCTAATCTCTCATCTCTGGCTGAGCTTGAGACCTTGAACAAGCAGAGTGAAGGCTTAAGACAGACCTGTAATGCTTGCAGGGAGAATTCAATGCAGAACGTAAAACAGAAATAGAGCATCTTGCCAAAGTCTGGAACACTTACTGGTTCAAAGCCTTTAATTAAATCTCTAGCCAGTCATTAGCTCACCACTAGGTACCTGAGCAAAAATTTCAGTAACCTTATACAGCAAACCAAAGAAAAGCAGATACCTTATACTTCAGCAAAATTAAAAACTTCTGCTCTCCTTAGGAAACTATCCAAAAAGTGAAAAAAATACCCCACTGAATGGGAGAAAATACTTGCAAATCATTTGTCTCATAAAGGTTTTGTATCCAGAATATATAAAGAATGATACAACTGAACAAGAAAAAAGACAAAGAATCAAATTAAAACAATGGGTGAAGGATTTTAACAGATATTGCTCGAAAAAAGATTTACACACAGCACATAAAAAATGCTCAGCCTTATTAGTCATTAGGGAAATGCAAATAAAAACCACTATGAGATACAACTTCATACCTACTAGGCTGGCTAAAATGAGAAAAAAGGACTAACAACTTTTGGAAGGATGTGGAAAAACTGGAATCTTCAGTTTTGCTGGTGTGAATATTAAATGGTGTACCCACTCTGAAGGATAGTTTGGCAGTTCCCCAAAAAGTTAAACAAAGAATCATTATGTGTGTAACAACTGCATTTCTAGGCATATATCCAAAAGAATCAAAACGTATGTCTACATGCAAGCTGTACACGAATGTTTATAGTAACCAAAAAGTGAAAGCAACTCAAAAAGCTATCAATTGATGAGTGGACAAAAGCAAAATCGAATACCTATATACAACAGATTTTTTTTTACCAATTAAAAGTAATGAAGTACTGATATATACTATAATATAAGTCAATCTCGAAAACATGCTAAATGGGAAAAAAAAAAAACCCTCCAATTGTAGGAGTCAATTTATACGAAAATGTCCAGAATGGCCAAATCTATTGAGACAGAAAATAGGGTAGTCTTACTAGGACCTGAGGGGATGGGGTGCTAGAAATAACCACTAATAGGTGTGGAATCCTATTATTCTAAAGTTTAATAGCTATCGTGGCTGAATAATTTTGTGAATATATTAAGAACCACTAAATTACACATTTTAAAGGGGTTAATTTTATCATATGAGAATTACATTTCAATAAAGCTGTTATTAAAAATAAATTATGTATGGGATACATAAATATGAAAAATTAAATATACTAAAGTAAAGCTATGTATCACTTTGGCTAATGGAATCTTTATGAGTATGAAAAAAATGGAGCAATCTGGAAAGAAAGAATGATCACTATGCTTGTATAAAGAAGAAATGCTGTGTTACAAAACTTTGTAAGCTTGAAAGATAATAACCCACAGATTATTTATGCAAAATGAAAAAACAAATCATCAATGCATCTGAGTCCTTATTTACATAGCAGCTATCACATGCAAGATACAGCTCTAAGTAATTCATACTTGTTGACATATTTGATCTGTATAACAAGCCAATGAGAAGAGACTGCTACAGTCCTCCCATTTTAGAGCAGGGGACACTGAGAAGTGAAGTCATCTCCTTAGCTTCCCTTGGCCCCGAATTAGTAGAGCTAGGCTTAGACACCAGGTAGGTTTCCTCCAGAGTCTGGACTTTTAAGCCCCTACATATACTGCTGACCTTGCCAGTCATGAATTGGAATAGGAAAAAAAAAGACAGGAAAGGAGAACAAAGAAGAAAGTGGAGACAAAAATGCCCAAATCAAAGGAGGTCAAATAGACCTGTAGGTCTGAGGAAAAGAGGTTAGAAGTACAGTGAAAATGCATGAGGAAAAGGGAAGAAAAGCGGACAGATCTTCTGAGGTCACAAAACTACAGCCTTTAAACTAGATTTGAAAGTGGTGTCTTTACTTTCTCAGCAGCAGAGAATAAGGGTGCCTAGGCGGGTGCTGTTGTACCTGTTCTGAAGATGTGGCTCACACATTGTCAGTATCTCTTACTATAGGTATTATTTACAGGTTTTCATTCATATATTTGGTAATGAGTGGAAGTACCCTCTAAGAATTGTTTATTATCTTTTCCAACTTTTACATTTTGAATTTACTATTTTTCATGTTGATTCCCCAATTTTATTTTTAATGTATGGCTCATCTTTTAATTTTGTGTAGAACATTTTTGATTGGGATTTTTTTTTCATTCCTTATGTCAACTTTAGATTAGAAAGCCCTTTTTCACTCTAATTTAATATATTTCCCAATACTTTCCCCTCATTTCCTTGCTGTTTCCTTACTGTTCCTTACTGTTGTAATTCCATCGAACCCTTTAACATTTCTTTTCAAAAATTTTTTAAGAAAGTGAGTATCCATCTTTACCTTTTTTTCTAAACTGTAACTAATTGTGTCAGCATCATTCGTTTAAGAAAACTTTCCCCCATCTGTTACTTTTTTTTTTATCCCTGTATCTTTAAAATATGACAGCACCCAGGCACTTAGCAATATCCACAAGCAGGACTCCAAAAATCTACTCTGTAGGTTTCTGACCTTAACTGTATCCACACCATGTGCTTTACTGTTAAAAATGGCATCCCTCTAACTGACACACACAGAATGGTTATAATCAAGAAAATAATTATTATGAGCCTACTGAATCTGGATCTCAAATGACAAAAATGTTCTCTCCGTCAAGAAAGTCAAAGAGAGGGTGAAGAGGAGGAGGGACCAGAGGGAAAGGGAAACATTCTGCATGTTCTGGTCGCCATATTATTTAGCTCAAGAATAATAATTCTTAACAACTATCAAACAAAATAAAATTCCTCAACATCATATTATAGAAGATTACACATACCATGTTTCTGCAGCTTCCAGGGGGAGCTTTATCATGGACTTACAGGAAGAGCCTCATGATCTGGACAGTGGGAGAGGACTTGGGGCTTGGACCCTAACAGGGACATCACCGTGTGACACTAATGTGTGATAACACCCCTGGCATCACCACAGGCTTCCATGAAAAACCAGGTGCCTGGGTGAGCACTTCGGCAGGAGAACAGAAATTCCAAACAGAAAGGCCAGAGCTGTCCCTCTGGTTAACACCAAGGCACGCCGTGGACACACAGCTGGGTCTCAAAGGGAAATCAATTCAGGATGACTCAAGTTAAAAATATTTTGAGAAAGATCAAGAGCCAGAAAGAATTCTTGACGACCTGAAGTGTAATAGAAAGATACCCAGCGTGCGTAAGGTAGACAAGCACACAGGGGACGTACACAAGAGAAGGATCTGCCACAGGAACAGCTCAGGGAGACCACATCAGAACAAAGATGAACTTTCGCTGGACAAGAACAACTGGAAATGACCATCAAAACCCAAAGTACATCTGATATTTGTAATTATGTTTATATTTTATGCCAAACTGCACATTGGTCTTTTTAAAGTCTATTTTCAAATAATTCTTTTTAAATAATCCTTAAGGCTGAAATAAATAACTTTTCCACCTGTTTTGCTATATCACTGCCTAGAAAGCACAGCCCTTCCCTATCTGCTATAATCAAGATTCCTTCACCCACTGAAGTGAAAATTTTCCAAGACTATAATCTTGAGAATGTTTATTAAATATTTTATTTTGCTATCTCTGTCATTCTGCAATAGGAAATCCCTTTAATTTAGGTATTTTCTCTGT